GTGAAGATCGATTAGATCTTGAACAAGTAAGTAAATAACGACGATGCAAACACAGTAAAATAACAGAACAAGATTGAATCAAACGTGTCGAATGATTAAAACAAAATCCTCAGAAGAGCTCGATTAAGAACATCAACTGTAGAGGATTGGAAGGTTACAAGAATGATCAAAGAAACCTTTAGTCGTCTGGAAAAATTGTATTCTCAGATCTATAAAACCTTAACCTAATATGCATGCAAGCATAAACTTATATACAAAGCATAAAAGACTCACGGTTGGACAGGCCCAAACCGTAATACAAAACAATATAAGTAGACGAGCCCAAAAGACGCAATCTATAAAGCCCAACAAAGGTCTTTGAGAATTTTGTCCAAAGTAAGGTCTAGGTTGAAAACCTGAGTTGTTTTGACCAAAAGATGGTCTTGGTTGAAAACTTGAGTTATTTTGTCCAAAAGATGGTCTTGGTTGAAAATTTGGTCTAGAATTTGATTGACCATGATTTGGGATAAATCTCTGGATATTTGTGTTTGCAACCAACGCACACAGTTGTTGATAATCTACTTCATCATTTGAATCAGACTGGAAGGCTTGGTTTTGAAAAGATGTAGTCTGATTAAAATGATTAAAGTTTTGATCATTGAAAGGTGTTTGGTTTTGAGAAGTTGTGGACACAAGTGCAAGTGGTCCTCCAAAAGCTGCAGTGGTTGGTGAGTCAATCGAGGATTCATACGATTGAAGTTCTCCATACAAGTTGTACAAAGTTTCAGTATGAATAGCTAGATTTCCCTGAATAATGAGTTTAACCATTTTCCAGCTTTCGAAAAAATTGTTTAAAAACATGAGATTTATCTCATGTTGTGTCTTTTTGATACCCAAATTGTTCATTTTAACCATAATCAAATTGAACCTATCGTGAGCATCATGGATGGATTCTGATGAAAATATTTTGAAATTATCGAATTCATTCAAAACAGATGTTCTTTTGTTTCCGATAATTCTTTTATTTCCACAAAAACGATTTTTCAAATTCTCCAAAATTTGATTTGCGGTTAACAGTATAATGTCATCCATTTGACTTAGAATACTATGAGGTATTCCAGAAAGAAGTTCCTTTTTGGCTTGGAGTTCCAACTTTTTTGTAATTTCAGCTTGAGTGGCTTGATTTGTAGCAAGAGTAGCCATATTTTCTGGAGTAACAAATGCTCCTTCTACATACTTCCAGACATATTCATTTATAGCATTAAGATGAAGATTCATACGGCCAACCCACGAATTATACTCTTCAGGAACAAGTATGGGTGCCAGTGAACCAGATCCTAAGCTATTTGCAATGGAGACAGAGTTCATGTTGGAGTAATTTCCCAAAGACATTTTTTTTGAAAGGATTTTGAACAAGTGATATTAAAATTAAATTTTTAAAGAAAAGCTTATGGAAGGTTTATAAACGCTATAACCAAAAGTTTTTCGACAAAAATTTCAAGGTAAATCACACAAGCTCTGATACCAATTGTTGGATATTATTCCTTTTATATCAGCTCAGATACCGATTGTTGGAAATATAAAAATCTGATCACCACAACAAAAGGCTCGGTTACCAGTTACTCTGTGACAGATATATGAGTTAAAGGTATAACATATAGATATATATAAAGAATAATAATTGCGGAATAAGTATAAATATGAAAGCTATAAATGACTGAAAGCTATAATAATATAAATGACTGTATTTAAATGACATAAAGTTATAAATAATATAAATGACTATATTTAAATGACATAAAGCTATAAATAATATAAATGACTATATTTAAATGACATAAAACTATAATAAAGTATATAAATATATAAATATATATCAAGTAGGTTCGTCAATAAATTGACTGAACTGGACTTATGGAGCGACTGGTCGATATTTGTTCTTTGAATGGACTGATCGATATTGGGACTCTTGGAGCAACTGGTCGATATTTGTTCTTTGAATGGACTGGTCGATATTGTGACTCTTGGAGCGACTGGTCGATATTTGTTCAATTATCAATCCGGCATTGGATAAGTAACAAAAAGTTCATTTAAAGCTCGATTTTATGTAAAACAAGTGTTTACAAAAGGGTACAAAATACATGGCTTTATGTATTTGTATTTGCAGTATTTTTGGGTAAAAACATGCACACGGGTCGTGTAAGATAAGGCACAAGTGACACGGGTCGTGTAGGAGGGTTTTGGAGGGTTTTCTTGATGAATGATGCTGACACGAGGCGTGTTGATTTAGCCTTGCTGAACACGGGGCGTGTTCATGATGCTGATGCTGACACGGGGCGTGTTGATTTAGCCTTGCTGAACACGGGGCGTGTTGAGGTTAGAAAGTATGAAGAAGGCAATCAGAGGGCAACACGGGGCGTGTTGATTTTGCCTTGGTTTTTAACACGGGGTGTGTTTGTGTCAGAGTCAATTTCGGGATTTTTGTGATTTGAAGGTAAGTTTTGTTTGTGATGTTTTGGCTAGGGTAATGGTATTATGGTGTTTTGAGGATGTTTTCAAGGTTGTTTAGAGGTTGGAAGGAGGTTGATATAAGGTGGTAAAGGTGGTGAAATTTCTATGAAGATGATGATGAATAGTGATGGGTTTTGTGGTTGATCTTGATGCAGAAGGTTTTGGGTTGTTTCATGGTTGTGTTTTGGTGTTTTGATGTAAGGAAAGTGTTTGGTGGTGTATGATGTGATGATCAAAGGTGGTGAAGATGAAAAACCTTTAGTTTCAATGAAGAAGATGAAGATGGTCGATGGTGTTCTTCATTTCATTGTTGATGATCTTGGTGTTCTTCACTTAGCTTCTTGTTTGATCTTGGTGTTCTTCATTTAGCTCCAGGGATGAAGATTGAGAGGGTTTAGTTTTACAAAGGAAAACTCACTATATCATATCTATCTCTCTTACTCTCTTCTATTATCTCCAACACAAACACACATTACATACACATGTATATATATGAGAAACAAATATCTTGTAGTAGTGCACTTGAGTGTAAGTTGAAAGATGATTTGGAGGCTGCAAGTTGATGTAGTAGTAGGAGCAAAAAACGTGGGAAGGTTTTAGGCTTCTTCATCTTTGACTTTTGTTGACTTCTTCTTTGTTTGACTATTCAATACATACACAACACATATATAATACATATATACATATATAACATATACATATGTATATAATACATATATATATATATATATATATATATATATATATTGTTTAAACTGTTTAGTCACACATATGTGTTTTCGTCATTCGCGTGTTTTCGTATTTTCCGTTTTATCACGCATTTATGCAACCTGAAATAACTGATAATATTTGTTAGATTGTATAAAAGCAGTTCATCTTATTTCAGTTATGGTCACATACAAGGTTACATAAGAACATTTTTCAACAAATCGTGTGTCAACAGATAAGTGTTGATTTTCAAAAAGAAAACAACAAATCCTTTCATTCATTGCAATTTGTTAATTGGTTATGTATTTACAACTGAAAGTTGCTTTACTATTGCAGTTTTGTTTTTTTTTTTTTTTTTTTTTTGGAATTTTTACCCTAATTTGAATAACAATAAAATCTTCATACTATCTCGGAATGAGTAGAGTTTTTTCTCAGATTGTAGTCCTCTATATTGGCTACAATGTAGGCTCAGAAAACAACTTAATTGGTTAAGATATGACTTAGTTATACACCCTTAAATAGGGGCTATTAGGACTGTTGTAAATTGTTACAACATTTTTTATAATTTTTTCAAACTTTGAACCATCATAAAAGTCTCATATAAGCTTGGAATTAGGCGATTTTTTCTTCCATATTGTATTCCTCTTTGTTTTCTATGCTTTAGGATAGTAAAATAGCTTAATTGGTTAAGATATGGATGAGTTATACAACCTTAAATAGGGGCCTTTACAACCGTTGTACATTGTTACAACATTTTTTATAATTTTTGTCAAACTTTGAACCATCATAAAAGTCTCATACGAGCTTGGAATTAGGTGATTTGTTTTCCATATTGTAGTCCTCTATTTTGTCTACGCATTAGGATAATAAAACAACTTAATTGGTTAAGATATGGATGAGTTATACAGCCTTAAACAGGGACTTTTACAACTGTTGTACATTGTTACAACATTTTTTATAATTTTTGTCAAACTTTGAACCATCATAAACTTCTCATACGAGCTTGGAATTAGGCGATTTGGTTTCCCAATTGTAGTCCTCTATGTTATCTACACTTTATGATAATAAAACAGTTTAATTGGTTAAGATATGGATGAGTTATACAACCTTAAACATGGGTTGCTACAACTGTTGTACATTGTTACAACATTTTTTATAATTTTTGTCAAACTTTGAACCATCATAAAAGTCTCATACGAGCTCGGAATTAGGAGATTTTTTCCCAAATTGTATTCCTCTGTGTTGTATACACTTTAGGATAATAAAATATCTTAATTGTTTAATACAGCCTTAAACATGGGCTGTTACAACTATTGTACATTGTTACAACATTTTTATAATTTTTGTCAAACTTTGAACCATCATAAAAGTCTCATATGAGCTCGGAATTAGGCAATTTTTTTTCCAAATTGTAGTCCTCTGTGTTGTCTAAACGTTAGCATAATAAAACAACTTAATTGGTTAAGATATGGATGACTTATACAGCCTTCAGCAGGGACTGTTACAACTGTTGTACATTGTTACTACATTTTTTATAATTTTCGTCAAACTTTGAACAATCATAAAAGTTTCATATGAGCTCAAAATTAGGCAAATTTGTTTCCTAATTGTAGTCCTCTGTCTTGTCTACGGTTTATAATAAAAAATAGCTTATTTGGTTAAGTTATTCCTGAGTTATACAACCCTAAATAGGGGCTATCTGGATTGTTGTATAATATTTTGTATTCATTGTGGTGTGATAATATTATGTTTAATGGTTGAATTACTATTTAAAGCATCTATTATGTAAACATTTTTTGTAGGCATGGCAGGGCGAAATAAATACACATGGACTACCGAAGAGGATGCAATGTTGATTGAATCATTGTTGGAGTTACATGTATCTAGAAAGTATGGTGGTGCCGACAACGGATTCAAACCCGTTTATATGTAGGTCGTGCAACAATTATTAGATACAAGTCTTCCTAACTCAGGTTTGAAAGTAGAGCCTCATATTAAATCGAGGATGAAGACATGAAAAAACCATTTCATCATCATGAACGGTATGGTATACGGAACAAACACGAGTGGATTCGGCTGGGATACGGATAAATGTTTTGTTACCGCTGATGCTGAAGTTTGGGATGAGTACATAAAGGTACTATAATGATTATGTTTGTTGTATTTTTTGCATCATTAAAACGTATTGTAAATGAATAGTAACCAATTAATTTTGTGTAATTCTTGTAGAGTTATAAAGTTGCAGCATGTTTTCGCGATAAACCAATTCCACAATTCGATAACCTATGTAAAATATTTGGTAAGTATAGAGCTACTGATCTTGGAGAAGATGTAACTGAAGAGACACAAAGAAACTCGCCTGTTGATGTGGAAGGGTTGGAAGATATTGTTGGAGAGACGCAACAAAATGCTCGTGGAAATAGTAAACGCAAAAGGCCTCCAACAGATGACATTGAAAGATCTTATAAAGAAGTTGCAGAATAAATGAAAGAAACACTCAAGGAGGTTGGTGAAAAACTTATTGAAACAATATACAATATAGGAAGACAAGAAAATAAGAAAATGTGTGATATGATAGATAAAGTAATCAAAGATATACAACGCATGCCAAATATCGATGTCAAACAGTGAATTACGGTGATTGACATGTTTAGCAAAGATAAATTTCATGCCAGGTCGTTTTTAAAGAGGACAGAAGAAGAAAAGATTTGTTACATGGACATGATAGGGGATGGATCAATATCATGATTAGGTTATTTTAAGTTATGTTTTTTTTTAGTTTTTACGAATATTGAAGTTGACTCTTTGCACATTCTGTATTGGACATAGTTATGCTTTTTTAGTTGTTATAAATATTGAATTATACTTTTTGTGTATCTTTCATTGGACATAGTTTTTGAATAGTATGATTTTCGTATTTCTTTAAAATCTATTTGTAAATTATTCCTTGATATTAGAAATATGTTTTCCAAAACAATATGTATAAAAAATAATACTAATTGATTAGAAAATAAATTATATAGTAACAATTAATATAAAAAAAACAAAAAAAAAAAGATCCATATTATACATACATACATACATACATACATAAATACATATATATATATATATATATATATATATATATATATATATATATATATATATATATATATTAATTTTGAAGTGTCAGGTGAACAGTATTTAGCTATGATTGGACGACTTCTATAATTTCTTTTTTTTTTTTTTACCCATTTGCTGTAACTGTATTTTCCCATTATAATGGGTCGTTGCCCCTACTGTTCAATCTCAAAGACGTGGGCGATCCATTTCTCTCCACCGACTAAGCCCTCACGAAAGGACCATCGATTAAGTTAGCATGGTTAGTTGTCCACCGCTGTTTTTCTTGCAAACGGCATGAGGTTTTCATTCTCTGTTAAATCCTAACTCCTAATGGGCGAGGGATCTTTTGGATCAGCCTTATCGACAATTTGAATCATGATTAATTGCGACATCGACGGAGTTTTGTTCGTAGAGGCGGAGTCAGATTCTCGACGACCGTTGTTGTTTCTTTGGGTTTAAGTTAATCTCTCTTCCGATTGACCCCCGCCATAACTGTTCACCAATGTTCTTTTAATATTTTCTTTGCATATGTTCCTTCTTGGTGGCTGCTTCAGAACGAGTTGAAGGTAATGTTTTCTTATACTTTGAGGGTATCGGCTATGGTGGTGGGATATCTTGGTCTTTTTGTGCGTGACCAGGGTTGAATATTGATATGAGCATATTTAGTTATAAAATTCATGCATGATCTTAATACTTTATGTTGATTTTATCTCATTTAATGAACAAAAGGTGCTTATTTAGTTTATAATTTCATTTTTTAGCAACAATTACATGCTCGGATGGAAAAGGAAGCGGAACTAGCGATTGGAGGCTTGGATCTTGGATTTTGAAAAAAGAAGGATGTTGCTGGACATCTTGACCCCTCGTCAGTGTTTTGGCCATATCTCATGAACCGTAACTCCAATTGACGAGATTCAAAATGTTCTGAAAGCTAGACACAATTTCAGACGACTTTCATGTTTTGAGAAAATGTTGATTCCAAACGGACTCGGCGCGTAGACCATCAACTCGCCGAGTTGGTCAGAAGTTTCGAGATTCTTGACTTTGCCTTGCCGTACTCGGGATTTTAAGTGATGCACTCGCCGAGTACTTCACTGTACTCACCGAGTAGCCGCTGTTTTTATAAAATATATATAGAAATGCTTCTCATTCGAACCCTAAGGAATGGGGGAAGTTTAGGACGATTTTTTGAGGCCAGAAGGGTTCTTAAAAGCTGTGGTTTTCGAGATTTCAACCTAAATATCAAATTGGAAGAAGATAAAAGGCAATAACACACTACTTTTATCTTAATCTTTTGCATAAACCATGTTTCAATCATTAGATTATGTTTTTAGTTTGTTATTTGCTGTAGATATGAGCTAAAAACTCATAACTTCTGTTTATGAAATATGAATTTGTCATTATGGTTTGATTTTGTGGTAGGAATGATAAAATATTGGTGATTTTGTTGATTTTAGCTTGTTAAAGAACCTTATGTATGAATGATAACTATTTTTCTGTTAATAGGAAGATAATTGAGCTGCATGAACATCTCTTAGTTGTTAACCTCATATGTTTATGTGACCACTTTATCATATGTCTAGGATTAATGAATATGAAACTAGAATTAATAAGAAAAATAGGTAAATTCATGTGTGAGCTTGTGTGATGACCATCAACAAGAGGTTAACTAAAGGACCAAATTAGTTAACTATTACAAGTCGAAATTAACCCGAATAAATAACCTAGCGAATTGAATTAAATTAGACAACTGGCCACTTTTTGAGTTAGTTTGTTCTCTAAGGATTAGTGCAGCGAACGTGAATCTAATCACTTGAATCGGTAGCCAATAAAAGAATTAATCCATTGCACTATTACCATAATATCAACCATAGGATCAATTGAGTTGAACTAAACAGAAGTTCCCTTTATTATTGAATTTAGTTGAATCTTTGTTTATCTAGTTCTTAGTTTCTTGGTTTAAATTTTAGTTAATTGTTTAAGTTTCTAGTCTTGCAAAACTAGTGAAAACCCAGTTTCTATTACTTGTTTTATTTAGATAATATTAGCATTTATTTTAATTGTTTACCATTCCCTATGTTCGATACCCTACTTGCTTGAACTATATTACTAATCGATAGGTAAACTGCCTTTCGTGTGTTTATTTTGTGTCTAAGTTAGTAGGATTAAAACTAGTTTGTTTCACACACATCAAGTTTTTTGCCTCTTGTTTCTTGTTTGCTACTTGCTACAAACCCGAAACTTTCTTCCTTTTTATTATTGTCTTGCCTGCTACATACCAATTGTTGGATATTATTCCTTTTATATCAGCTCAGATACCGATTGTTGGAAATATAAAAATCTGATCACCACAACAAAAGGCGCGGTTACCAGTTACTGTGTCACAGATATATGAGTTAAAGGTATAAGATATAGATATATATAAAGAATAATAATTGCGGAATAAGTATAAATATGAAAGCTATAAATGACTGAAAGCTATAATAATATAAATGACTGTATTTAAATGACATAAAGCTATAAATAATATAAATGACTATATTTAAATGACATAAAGCTATAATAAAGTATATAAATATATAAATATATATATCAAGTAGGTTCGTCAATAAATTGACTGAACTGGACTTATGGAGCGACTGGTCGATATTTGTTCTTTGAATGGACTGGTCGATATTGGGACTCTTGTAGCGACTGGTCGATATTTGTTCGTTGAATGGACTGGTCGATATTATGACTCTTGGAGCGACTGGTCGATATTTGTTCAAAGATCAATCCGACATTGGATAAGTAACAAAAAGTTCATTTAAAGCTCGATTTTATGTAAAACAAGTGTTTACAAAAGGGTACAAAATACATGGGTTTATGTATTTGTATTTGCGGTATTTTTGGGTAAAAACATGCACACTGGTCGTGTAAGATAAGGCACAAGTGACACGGGTCGTGTAGGAGGGTTTTGGAGGGTTTTCTTGATGAATGATGCTGACACGGGGCGTGTTGATTTAGCCTTGCTGAACACGGGGCGTGTTCATGATGTTGATGCTGACACAGGGCGTGTTGATTTAGCCTTGTTGAACACGGGGCGTGTTGAGGTTCAAAAGTATGAAGAAGGCAATCAGAGGGCAACACGGGGCGTGTTCGTGTCAGAGTCAATTTCGGGATTTTTGTGATTTGAAGGTAAGTTTTGTTTGTGATGTTTTGTCTAGGGTAATGGTATTATGGTGTTTTGAGGATGTTTTCAAGGTTGTTTAGAGGTTGGAAGGAGGTTGATATAAGGTGGTAAAGGTGGTGAAATTTCTATGAAGATGATGATGAATAGTGATGGGTTTTGTGGTTGATCTTGATGCAGAAGGTTTTGGGTTGTTTCATGGTTGTGTTTTGGTGTTTTGATGTAAGGAAAGTGTTTGGTGGTGTATGATGTGATGATCAAAGGTGGTGAAGATGAAAAACCTTTAGTTTCAATGAAGAAGATGAAGATGGTTGATGGTGTTCTTCATTTCATTTTTGATGATCTTGGTGTTCTTCACTTAGCTTCTTGTTTGATCTTGGTGTTCTTCATTTAGCTCCAGGGATGAAGATTGAGAGGGTTTAGTTTTACAAAGGAAAACTCACTATATCATATCTATCTCTCTTACTATCTTCTATTATCTCCAACACAAACACACACTACATACACATGTATATATATGAGAAACAAATATCTTGTAGTAGTGAACTTGAGTGTAAGTTGAAAGATGATGTAGAGGCTGCAAGTTGATGTAGTAGTAGGAGCAAAAAACGTGGGAAGGTTTTAGGCTTCTTCATCTTTGACTTTTGTTGACTTCTTCTTTGTTTGACTATTCAATACATACACAACACATATATAATACATATATACATATATAATACATACATATGTATCTAATACATATATGTATATATATATATATATATATTGTTGAAACTGTTTAGTCACACATATGTGTTTTCGTCATTCGCGTGTTTTCGTATTTTCCGTTTTATCACGCATTCATGCAACCTGAAATAACTGATAATATTTGTTAGATTGTATAAAAGCAGTTCATCTTATTTCAGTTATGGTCACATACAAGGTTACATAAGAACATTTTTCAACATGCTACTTGCTACAGACTATGTGACAACCCTTCTTGCTTGTTACACTTGCAATTGTTCTTACAGAAAATTCTGCCGCTTCTTTCTTCTGATCACCAAACTTGATCAGACTTGCTGCTTATCTTTCATTCTTGCTTTCTTACTTGCTTTCTTTCTTGCTCTCTCGGTCTTCTCTTGGTGAGAACCCTTCTTTCTTTCTTGTCTGCTACTTGCTACAGACTTGTTTTTCTTGCTTCTTTCTTCTTTCTGTCTTTCTTTCTTGCTTCAGATTAAGATCAATTGGTCATCACATCATCAACTTCTTGCTTTCATCCTCTCTTTCTTGCTTGAACCAAGTGTGAACCTGGGTGCTCTGATACCAATTGTTGGAACAAAACTACACAGCCATTATGCCAAGACCGCAACACATGCATTTGTGTCTAAAGTTTTTCCTAAGGAACCCCCACACTCTAAATACTCACAACCCTCATAAACATTCACCCACTTTTTCTGAACAATGCTCATTTTATGCATCCCTCCGAATCCATCACCAGAAAACCTCCTAACCTCAAGGTATTTTTGGTTGAGCAACCCAAGCATACATAATCTAGAAAAGTACAATTTAT